TCCCTGCACTCAACTTAGGAATGCAAACTGTAGTGGATAGAGATGTTTCACTCTTTGTGTTTGATCAGAGCTGCTCTCTGTACCTGTGTGGGAGAACCCTGTGAGTGCTGCTGGGTAATCAGCAGGTGTTTAACTCCTCTGTGTAGCCTGAGGACACCACTGTCACTCTGAGGTGGGATAGTGGCTTCAGCGACCTCACGGTGCCATTCCTTTGGGAATGTGCTGCCCCAGCGTGGGTGGAAGGGGGCTGAAGGGAACTTTCCCCTCTTGGACAACTTGCTTCCAGTCCAGTGCAGAAGGGTAATGCCATGTCCCGTGAGGGTGAGCAGCTGTGCCAGGAGTGCTTCGTGGCCAGGACGTGCCATGTGGCTGTGTCAAGGCAGAGAGCTCGGTGTTGGCAATCGCGGGGACAAACTCGGGGGTACCCAACACACTGGTGGTGTTTCCTCTGGAGGTGTGGCAGCGCTCCGCAGGGCTCTCGCTCTGGGTGCTGCAGCAACAAGGGTTTTATGCATGAAACACAGATTAACAAAGCATTTTGTGTTTTGTTCATGTAATGGTAATCCCTGGAGGGCTGCAAGGTGTAGGCCCCTTTGCTTTTCTCCTTCATTTTGTGCTGCAGTTGGGTTGCAGGTAGCAAGAACTGCTTTGAACACACAAAAAAATAGTCCCAAGCCAGCATGGCTGGGACTTTCCTCGCAGGGATGAGTCTCCTACCAGCTCTCGTGCACAGAGCTCCACTTGGGAGGGGGGCAAGGAGCGCCTGAAGCTGTGTCGGGGTCCTTCTTGTGCCCCTCACTGTGGCCTCATGCCTTTCCTTTGGCATAGTGCAGCAGTGGTGTTCGAGGATGATTGGGTATGGGGGTGTGCCTGTGGGAGACTGCTGATGTGGGAGTGTGGAGATTCCCCTGGAGTTGTGGGGTTTTCTCTGATGGGAGCAAGTGTCCCAGATGTGGCCTGCACTGTGACAACCAGGGGATTTAGCAACCTCTTCTGAGCTTTTGCAGCCTTCAGGGAGGTGTTTTTACTTTTGCTACTTGTGACTTAGTCCACCTAAAACACTCTTGGTTGGACCAGAGAGCATCATCAGGAACTCCTTTGTGACAGAAATGAGTAGAAGAAACTACCAAAGTCTCTGAACTAGGAAGCTCAATGTGGAGCTGCAGCGATGGGCAGCAGTGTCTGGGGTCGGTGTCTGCTGTTTGTCTTCACAGCTACTGTTTTCTTTTGGCATGTTCCAGGAAAAGCACTGTGTCCTGCTGACTCTTTGGTGTATTGGGTTTGGCACTGCCCTCTTTTACGTGCGTCAGGCAGGCTGTAATTCAGGTGGAACTGGTTAGAGATTGCACTGAGGCAGGAATGTGTGATTCTGTGAGTGCAAGGGCTGTGCACCCGCCCAGCTGTGTTGTACAGGTGTGTGTTTATGTTGTTTCTCATTGGTTTGCTTTCCAGAGTGTTGGTGCTGTGTGTGTCTGAGATATTTTCACATTTGCATTATCCCCAGTGCTGTGTGATCAGACGTTATGCTCCGGGGCAGTTGGTGTTGTGCTGGGACGGGAGGAGATCCAAGGGCAGCTGCAGCAAAGCCCTGAGATTCTGCAAGGCCAGAAAATTTCATGTCTTCCCCTTGCTGCCCCAGCATGTAGCATATTCATAATAACATGGTTAATAAAGGGGAGAGTTTCTGCCTTTGCAGATTTGGTGAGACGTTGGATTCCAAGAAAGGGGCACGTCCCCTTAATAAGCCAGAGCCTCCCGGAACAGCATGCCCACCTCTGCAAAATCTGCATGAACCCCTCAATTATCAGTCAGAGAGTAAAACTGCACTGCTCTGGGTCACCTGTGTTAAAGGTTTTTGCTGGTTTGTGCTAGTGGGGATTTACTTGGTCACACACAATTTCCAGGTGGGTGCAGAAGCCTAAACACGTAGGGGGAGTCAAGTTACCAGCGTTGGTAGCTCTGATCGCCAAGCAGGAACTTGAGTGAGCAGACTTGGTGTGCAGCTGAAAGCTGGAGAAGTTGCTTTTCATGCTTTTAGGGGGTGGTGGAGAGATGGAAAATCAGCACTGATTGAATGCTGGTACCGAATTACATGGAACAAAGTACGAGTTGGGCACTTGTGTAAGGCTGAGTGTGCCCAGGAAGACTAGTTCGCAGAACCTCATACTGGTATCTAAAATGCACTTTAGGTTATTTTATCTTTAACCCAATTGCTGCAATTTCTTTTGTATATACTTTCACAAAGTTTATTTTTGGTCTGAGTAAAAGTTAACAGGGGTGTGCAAAGATGAGCACTTAACTTGGTGCAATACCTGTAGCTAAAGATTCTTTTCCCGTTTGGTCTGTGTGTGTCTGTCTGACAGAACAGGTATGGTTGGTGCCGTGCTGCTCTTCCCCCATGCCCCAGACAAATTATGCATCGTTAGTAAACGTCCAATCTATGCAAAAACCCCACTGAGAGCACTGTGCTTCATCAGCCTTTTCTCTCACACTTTCTGGGGGCTGCTTGTTGCTCCTCTTGGACACACTGTGTCCCTCGGTGTGTGTCCTTCCTCCCCTGTCCTCGGTTTGCCACTCATGTGGGAACACAAGTGACAAGCTACTCTCAAACAGGCATGTTGCACCTTTGAAATTTGTCTTCAAGATGGTTTCTGATGTCCTGTTACTGCCTTATTTCCTGGGGGTGGCATGGCCACAGCCATACACAACATTGTCCTTGACCTGCAGCAATGCTGTGAGCTGTTTACAGCACTCCTGCTCCAGGATAACCCGGGCTGGGAGCCAGAGCCAGTGACCAGCCCGCTGGTGTGGAGCTGCGGGGGAAGCTGAGCTGAGGGTGGTTGTCCTTGAAGGTGACTGGGGATGAGCAGCTGTCCCTGGCTTGGTTCCTGAGCTGAGGCAGCCAGGGCAGTGGGGCAGACCAGACAGGACCTGGTGTCACGTTCTCGCCTCTGCTTCTGGCCGGGAGACACCAGGCAAGGCATGGAACCTCCCTGTGACATGAGGACAGGGAGTTGTCTCTGTGAAATGATTTGAGATCTGTGGGTGAAAACTTCTGGGCATGAGTGATCTGAGCTAGCTGGGCAGAACTGCTGGAGTCAGTTTGGACTGTAAGACAAAAAAGAAGAGCATGTCTTTAATAAACCCTATAAATTTCTGACTGCAGAGTTTTTAATTGTACACTACTTTTGCCATAACATATTTTGGAAGTAATGTCAAGGTTTTATAAATGTTATCTGTAGTCGATACTCATGGACAGGGCTGAACTTTTAACTTTTTTGTGTCTTGTCTTGGATTCTATCACACGTTCTAGAAGTTGGATTCTGTGTCTGCACTGAGAAATGCAAATTAAACTGGATATTTATGTAGTAGTGTACATAGTCTTGAGTGTGTGTGTTCTTGGAACTAGGTGAAAACCCCACCCCATGCTGTGGTGGTGTGCAAGCTGGCCAAAATTTGGTTCATTATGCAGTGTACACTTTCTCAAATAAATGCAGTTTCTACTTTTTCTGAAAATTTTGATTTTTTTTCACATAACTTTTTTCAGCAGACTCGAGGGTGTGTTTGCCGTGCTGTAGTTGGCAGTTGCTGGTGTTCCTGGTTTGTGACTCTTGTCCTCCCACTGCTCAGGCTGACCCTGCTCTGTTCTGCCTCCCCTGACCCAGCGCTGGCAAAACCCAGCCTGGTTCCACCCCGGGGCCTTGGAGGTGGCTGAACTAAACCCCAGTTTCTCAAGAATGTGTGTATTGTAATAAAGGAATTTATTTAACTCTGAAACATGGGAACAAATGTGCTTACATTGAGCAATGTGAAGATGTTAGTTACAGGTACAGTACTTCCAAAGGAAGAGCATCTCCAAAACCCAAAAAAGAGTAAATATGAATTTGTATTTTTTGAAGAATGTGAAATAATGGTGTTTGCTTAATTGCTCATTTTGTATGAAGTTAATATTGTACTTTGAAATATCTGCAAAGAAGTGGAAATTAACCTTTTTGGAATTGAAAGCAATATTAATACTAATGGAATCCTAATTAAATGCTTATTTAAATATTGTGTTATAATAGTTTTTCCTGAGCGTATTCTGTGGGAGATGAGCGTCCTGCCCTTGCCCCCTTTGGAAGGCATTGGGGACGTGGAATTCCAACCCTAAAAGGCAGCGTTTGCCTTTGCAGCCTCCTCCCTCTCCAGCGCTGGCCTTCACCAGCTTCCCACCCTCTGGTGCCCTGCGGTGCGGGTGGGAGTTGGGTCCCACCCATCTCTCCAGCCTGGTCCCCGGAACTGGTTCTTCCTCAGGTCCTGCTTCTCTCTCCAGGATGCTGCTGTCGGCAGGGACTGAACAGCTGCCCCAGAGCAGCACAAGGTTTGTGTCTCTGCAGCCCCTCGAGCGTGGGCTTAGGCAGGTCCCGATCGCGGCCACGCGGGGTGATACAGACCAGGCCCGTCCCGCCTTATTTCAAAGCGTACATTTAATGCGATAAGGCACCAGCAAAGCGACACCGACCGAGCTCCAAGGCTGCGGCGGTGCTGCCTTTACCAGTCCCTGAACTCCCCTGGCAACGCCCGGGCCCTGCCGGAGCCTCGGCCTCCCTCGGCAAGGCCTCGATCTTCCAGGGCTCTTCAGGGCCCTGCGGCCCCCGGGCCGGTGCCGGGGCCCAGCGCCGCCCGCAGCGCGGTCATCGCCGCTGTCAGCTCCTCGCAGGCGGCGATGCGGGACCGCAGCTGCCGCTGCCGCAGCTCCAGCAGCTCCCGCAGCCTCCGCGGCCCCTCCGGAACCTGCGGGGGGAACACGGCGGGGGACGGCGGTCACGGCACTCGCGGTCCCCTCGCTCTGCACCGCTCCCTCCCGCGCTCCTCCGTTACCCCCCGTCCCCTCCGCACCCGCCGCTCTCCCGCCGCCTCCGTCCCGCCCGCGCACGGCTCGGGGTGGCCGCCGCTGGCCATGTGAGCGCCGGGCCCGCCCCGCCCCGCCCCGGCTGTTGCGTTGTCTCCCGGCGCCGCGCTCGGAAGTGCCCGCATGGCGCGGGCGGCGCGGGCGCTGGCGCGGGCTGTGGAAAGAGCGGCGGGGCCGGGGCTGGACCGGGCTCGCCTGGTGCCGCTGCCGCCCGGCGGCGCGGCCGGGCCCGACCCGCACGGTGCGCGCGGGGAATCGGCCGAGGGGGCGGTTGGGCCGGCGGGGAGTGGGGGATGCGGGGGAGGCCCCGGGCCGGGCCAGACTCGGGGCGGGGACGCCCCGCGCGGTGGCGGCGGGTGCCGGGTGGCCCCGCTGACCCCCCCGGTGTCGCGCAGGCTGGCGAGAGGCGGTGGCGGCCGCGGCCGGCGCGCTGCAGGCGGGCGGGATGGTGGCGGTGCCCACGGACACGGTGTACGGCGTGGCCTGCCTGGCTCAGGACTCGGCCGCCGTGCGCAGCATCTACAGCCTGAAGGGGCGGAACGGCGCGAAGCCCCTCGCCATCTGCCTCGGGGACGTGGAGCGGCTCTACAGGTGCGCGGGGCTCCGGAGCGCGGGATGGGCCGCCCCGAGAGCCCGGCGGGGAGCGGCCGCGTCTGTCCGCGGAGCGCCATGGAAGGGAGGGAGGGGCCGTGCCGGAGCTGCCCCAGCCCCGCTGTGGCCGCCCTGACCCCGCTGCCTCTGGGCCTGCAGGTACTGCCACGTGAACGTGCCGGACGAGCTGCTGCGGGACCTGCTTCCAGGACCGGTGACGCTGGTCCTGCAGCGTTCAGAAGAACTGAATAAAGACCTGAATCCTTTCACATCGGTAGGTCTTGGCTACAGGATGGATCTCGAGGCTTGGGGGCAGTGGGCTGGTTTTGTTCTGCCTGCTTGTACTGCTGTTCTGTTTGTCCTTACCGGGTCCCTGTGCTGGTTCCATTTCCCAGGTCTTAGGTAGGCACGGCATAACCCAGCATTAGGGCCTGACTTAGGTCTTGTGTTATTGCTGGTTCAGCAGGTCTAAAAGTATCAGTTCTCTAGAGCATCAGCTTTAAGCCAAGAGGGCTTAAGGCAATACAAAATTAAAACCAATTTCTATGTGTAAAACCCTTGTCTCCCTCCCTGCAGCTGGTTGGTGTTCGTATTCCAAACCACTCCTTTATGAGGGACCTGGCACGTGCCTGCTCGGGACCACTGGCTTTGACAAGCGCCAACATCAGCTCCAAGGGCAGCACCCTGACCGTGTCGGTGAGGCTCCTCTGCCCCTTGGGGCGTCACTGGGGCACTTTGACAGAGCCCCAAGCTCTCCCACAGTTGAACTCAGCTTTAGCAATAAAGCAAAGGTTGAACTGTTGCTATATATTTTTCTTTTTAAAATGATACTCACAAAGCACTGTCAGGACTGTTACCTACAGCACTCTTGCAGGAATTTCAGGACCTGTGGCCTCAGTTGTCCTTGATCGTCGATGGAGGCCCCATAGGGGACATCTGGAGCCCAGAGTGTCGCTTGGGGTCGACTGTGGTTGACTTATCTGTGTCAGGGAAGTTCTCCATCATCCGTCCTGGCTGGTGAGCACTGCTGGGCCTTTCTCTGTGCTTCAAATGAAATAAAGCTTTCGGGTCATGCTTTGCTTTGTTTCCCACAGCAGTTCCACCTTCCTGTTAATGTTTAACTTAATTACCAGCACACTCAGAAATCCTAAAGAGCTCTCCAAATTCCCCTTTCTCACAGCTTCTGTGTGAAACTCCAGTAGTTTCTGGAGTTCATGTTCTGTTTGATTTTAAGTGCAGTCCTACGTCTCACTGATCTTCCCCAAAAATGCGGTTTAATCCTCCAGATCTTTTGTTTTGACAGTTCTCGTTCTCCCCACAGTGCACTGACACCCACAGTTGAAATCCTGAGGCAGAAGTATGGCTTGGTACCGGAGTCTTCCTAACCCTTGGGATTGGGAGCTGCTGGAGCTGGGCACCATGTGCCTGTGCACTCAGAAGTGGGTGTTTGTGGCCTTGTTTAATAAGGTCGATGGGTTATGTCAAGGTGAATAAATAAAAGATTAAAAAAATTAATTAAAAAGTCCTTTTGAGCTCTCTGTGCTGCTGTACCATTCCCAAATGTCTGTTCTGTTATCCTGATTAGGCCTTGTGAATATAATGCTTGGAATGTTGGACTGATGAGGTGGGGAAGGCCCTGTCTGCCCCACCCTCCCCAAGCGCTGATTCCATGTTTGTAGTCATTGCATCTGCACTGTAAGGAAAGCAAAAACGGAATAGAGGGGTTTGGGGCTTTCAGGGTGTTACAGCTGTAATGTTCTCTGGTTATGTTCAAATTCATGGAGTGATGGTTGAAACAAACAACACCAGGCCAGGCTGCCTGGGCCAGGGCTGGTACCAGAGGTGAAGCTGCTCAGTGTGTGACCCTTTCTGACCCTGGTGAAGCCATGGGGATTCTGCTGTCTGAAGAGTCCCCAGACAGGGACAGGTTTTCCTCCGTCACTGCAAACAGAGATCTGTGAGGCCACTGCTAGCCCTCGTTCTGCTTCCCACTACAACAGAAAACAGACTTGGGCTAATTAAGCTGGAAACACAACATTGCAATTTGCAGCTGATTAAATCTTTCAAACAATATTTATGTTAATCTCCTTCTGATTTATTTTCTTGTAATGCCTTGACTAGGAGATGGTCCACTGCCTGGGGAAATGCTTCCATATGGAGCCCAGCCCGCCCTGCCAGATGCTGGGAGCTCAGAGTGATGGTTTTCACTCATCGTGTTTACAGCCAGGAGAGATGATCTTGTCTGTCTGGGCTGGGTCTGTACCCAGAGTGGGATGCTGAGCTGTAGTTCTTGATTTTGCTGCAGGAGTGGATCTGTCTGTGGCAGGAGAGGGCTGTGAAACACCACATGGGAAGGGGCATCCTCGGACAGCTCTTGGCTGGGGTGGTTCTGTCTCTGCTGCACCTCCCCACCAGGGCTTTTCTGTCACACGAGGAGGCTGCTGTGAAATGCTTCTTTGAGTTTATCCCTGGAAATTAGAGACCTATTGCAAAAACCCTGTTTCCTTCTGCATGCATACCCACTTACACTATCCTCCAGACCTTCTTCCAACTCCAGAGTTGGCAGAATGCCTGGCAAATTTCCACAGGATGCTGATTTAAGGAATTAGTCTGTTGAAGTGTAGATGTTAGAGACAGAAGGGACCCTGAGGCCATCTGGAGAGTCTGCTTCCCCAGACAGCATCCCCTCTCCCATGTCACCCCAGGCACATTTGTCAGATTTGCTCTCAGCTCCCTTTTCTGAAGGAAATTCTGCCTGGTTGCTCTGTATCTTCTCCCCATTTTCCAGTTCCTTAAAAAAATATTTATTTGGACTGGAATATTTCAGGGGCTTAGAGGCAACATGGTCTGTGTACACCCACATCTTCTCTGTTTTTTCCCTTTTTCAGAAAGGCTGGGGTTTACCCTCCCCCCTCTTGACACCTTGCAGGTGGCTTCAGGGAGTCCCTGGGGAGGGGACTCTGGGCAACGCAGGCCAAGGTGGGACAGGGGTGTGAGGGGGTCTCACCACTGCTGGAGCCAGGAACAGCCCCTGCATGCAGGGAGGAGAGCTCCAGAGGTAAAGGGATTTTCACTGTGGAATTGTTAAATTAACTATTACTTGAATTTTTATTAAATTAGATGCTCTTTTTGTTTTGTTTTTAATTTCACCAGCAAATGATTCTGCATAATTAATGCTGGCTGAGCCTGCTGATTCACTTGCTGCTGCTGCAGGACAGAGCACTTGGTTGCAGCCTGAGCCACATGCTGGTTCCAGGAGCTGCCCTGCAGGAAAGCCACACGTGGCCCTGAGGAGCACTCCTGGCCCTGGGACAGGGAAAGCACTGCATCAGTGCTTGCAATGAAACTGTTAAGTTATATTGACGAGCCTGCTCTCCCCAGGTCTGGGTTGATGCTCCCCATTAACTCTGCCCACAGGGGCTGGGAGTGCCCTGGCTGCAGCTCTGTCAGGTGCAAGTTCTTCATTACTCCATGATGCAAATTGTCATCACATACAACTTGTTTGGATGAGCTTTCTGGAGAACCAGGAGCTCCCGAGCCTGTGAGAGCTGCCTGCCTGACTGGAGCAGAGGAGAATTTTCAGGCTTTTTTCCTTGGTGTATAGTTGTATACTCTGAACACCCTTCAGATGCTGACAGGCTTCCTGAGGTGTGGAGAGAGCACTTCCCTTCCTCCAGGTGTCTAAAGGCAAAAGAAGTGGTAAGTCCACAGGGATTTGGGGTTTTAATCATGAAACAGCATCTTTTAAAACCTACACTGTGAGCAGGGCAGTTGCCTTTATTATTCTGACCATGTTTGGCCAAAATCCTGTGCCTGTTACCAGCTGACCATTCCCCTCTGCTGTGTGGCTGCAGTTGTGGGGAGACAAGTGGAGGGGCAGGGATGGTGGTGGAGCAGTGACAGAGGTGGGACAGGGATTGCTGACAGGGCAGGAACCACCATGCCTGGCTGACTTGGGGACCCCAGGGCTGGCAGGAGGAGCGGCTGGTGGAGCTCTGCAGTGCCTGGCTGTGGATAGCTGGATTTGCAGAAAAACTAAACTCGGCACCAAGCACGTTTCTGAGGGGCACTGTGAAGGTGCTGGCGGTGTTGGGACAGGCTGGTCCTGCAGCCAGTTGGGAATACTGGCAGTGCTGGGCAGCTCTGTTTGGTGCAGAGACTGTGTTTGCTCTACTTGTGCCCTCCGTGGTTAACACTCTGCAAGTAACTTCTTGGCAATGACTCCAATTAGGCCAGCACATCTCCCTGTAATCTTGATCCCTGTTGTGCTGCCAGACTCAATTCAAATTTAATTTGTTGAAAGTGTATATCGGGCAGCTTTTTTACTTAGCACAAAACTGAGGGGAAGGTATCATTGATGGAAAAATAATACAAGTTCATATTCTTCTTACCTTAAGGAAGGAAAAGAGGTGCCAGAAAACTTGGCCAAATTTACATTTTAATGGGAAATGTTCTGACTGCCTGCTCTGGGAGATATAAATTGCTTTCTGGATGGGACCCTGACTTTATATCAAAGTGCAGGGAATTAAATCCAGCAGCCTCTGATGAGATGAAAGGGATATCTGTGGATCCACAGCCCCTTGTTGCCAGCCAGTGGTGAGGGCTGGCCAGGTGCAGGTGGCAGGGTCAGGCCATTGTCCCCATTCTACTGGGGACACAGGCAGGGTGGCTGCTGGGACTGATGGCTCCTGGCTCCAGCAGCTGGAGGTGTCATGCTGGGGGCTGGAGGGCTGTTTGCAGAGAAAACCTGCGTGTTTCAAACCCTGGAGAAACCCTGCCCTGTCAATGTACCCTAGCCTGATAGAGGGAGGACCGGCTCAAAGGGGTCTGTCCTCACTCCCGTGTGGTGAGATGGTGTCTCAGCAGCAGACTACACTGGCACAAGCACCACTCAGGCCATTCCCTCTGGCAGCTGTCCCTCAGGCAGGAGTCCCTCGAAAGCCCATGTCTGGGGCAGCTCTCCGGGGTGTCTCTGCCTTCTTGTCCAGTTGTTCTTCATCAGAGCAGCTCTTGCTTACAGACAGGCTCCAGCAGTGTCTCTGTGGTGCCAGCCTCGTGTCTCAGACCCCCATGCAGCTCAAAGCTGTGCCCAGGAGAAGCTGCTGTTAATTTCTTTGCATCTTAAAGCTCTTTGAAGATGAAAACGTGGTGCAGTGCTGCATAGTCTTATCTCTGGTATAGCCTGTCACCTGCAGCTGTTTCTGGCATATTCACGAGCACAGCAAAGACTTGTCCCTGCTGGGACTGAGTTCCTGGAGTGTGTCCTCTCCCCACACGGTGCTTTTGCAGTTGTCAGAGCAGTTGTGTGCACTGGATGAGATGTAAATTCAGTGTCGTACGGCAAAGGCATCACTCAGACAAGGAGACAACATGCTTATTGGGGATGCTTCCAATCCAATAAAACAAGCAAAATCATCCCTGTTAGAGGCTCAATCAGAGCAGATGTGCTGGCACTCATGAGGCTGCTTCCCTGGGGGAAACAATGTCACTGTCTGGAAAGCAAAGCAGTGATAAATTGTAGGTGACCTTCAGTAATTTGTTGCTGTCTTGTGTAAAACACTGCTGCTCCTCTGGGCCAGTCCTGGGCATCTGCCTGGGATCACAGTAATTCCAATCTTTACCATCTTAATGGGTTTGTTGTGGGTTAGATAATGACAAATGGCTGGGGATGCAGGGGAACACAGAAGCATGTGCTGGGTAGTGGTGGGCTGCACCAATTGCCCTTGTATGGCAGTTTTGGGCGGTGGAGCAGCTGCAGGTGGGTCCCAAGCTGGGATGGGGTCCCTCAGGAAGTGTCTATGAGCCCAGCACTGGAGCCATCCCAGACTCACAGGGCTCTGCAGGTGCAGGGCTCTTTGCCAGCACCAGGCCTGTGCTATGATGGGCAAATTACCTGTAGAATGCCTTTTTAATCCCGAGAGAAATAACTTGATTAGTAATTATTGGTGCAGAACACTTGGGGAGGCTCTGCAGAGGGTGAGGATGGCTGGTTTCACTGGAGCTGCCTGTCAGTTTTGTCACCTAATTATAAGACTGTTCCATGCCGCGATTCTGGACAGACAGAGGAAAAACCCCTCAGCGTAATTGCATTGGTCATATTTTGTAGCCACTAATTACTTGCTTTGCAATTAACATTTTCTCTGGCTGGCTGGGGAGCTGTCACAGCCTTGGCTCATGACACATAGCTCGGAGCTTCCTGTGGCACAGCTTCCAGGGCTCTGGCAGGGAAGGGGATCAGCCCCACAGCACAGGAGGGAGGGCAGGGCTGGCAGTCACTGGCGCCCAGGTGAGGGAAGTGATGGTGTCCAAATCTGTGACAAGGTGCTGGGCCTGGGGCTGATGGCTCCACCTGAGCTCAGTTTGCTCATAAATCAAAACTCTGATGCGAACTTTAGCAGCGTCCATAAATTCTTCATTTATCATTATTAAAGAAGCGTCGATGTTCAAAACCTGATTTATAGCTGGTAATTTAGATTGTGGATTGCCTCTGATACAGTAAATATTCCTGTCCAAAGCCTATCAGGCAGTTTTCTACTTATTGGGAATTAATGACTCATAAAACAGAGCCAGAACAGGTTGTTGGTGTGAGTGAAGGGAAGGCTGTATTTGTTGGGGTTTCCCTCCTGAGGAAGCATGAAGGGACCCCAATAAATAGCTAATTGGGTCCATCCATCCATCCAGCAGGCCCTGGGTTGGGCTGTGCATCACGGTGGGTCCTGGCCCTGTGTGGGATTGGGGGGGCTCAGCTGTGCCAGCCCAATCAGGCTGCACCACCAGGTACTCTCCTCTTAAATCTTACAATACGTATGTTAAACCTCTATTCAGTTCTCTCTGCACTGGCAAAGCTTTGAAATCCCTTATCTCCAGGAAAGACCATCTGCTGCCTCAGCACCATGGATACAGCTTTTGGCAGATGAGAACTTTGGTTTATTATTTTAATTCAGCCCCAGTGCCACAAAGTAATCTATCATGCTGTTTGCAAGGTGTTTCCCTAAGCCTCTGTATGGCTGGTGTTCATTTGGGATGTTGCAGGGATTTTGCATTTGTGCAAGTGCTGCATAATTGTCATGATA